CCCCCGCCGCCGCCGCCGCTGACTCGAGTATAAGCCGAGGGGGGCATTTTTCAGCCCCAAAAATGGGCTGAAAAACTCGGCTTATACTCGAGTATATACGGTATTTTTAACTTGGTTTTTTATAATAATTTTTTTAAAAAAGGATAATAATGGCCTTATAATAATATTTTATTTTAATTGACATTTTAACTTGGTATTTTTGTAGTTATGTACTTGTTTTTAAAAGGCTGTAAGCCGCCCTGAGTCCGCAGGGAGAAGGGCGGGGTAGAAATTTAAATAATAAATAAATAAATAAATAAATAAAAAAAAGGAGATCACGTGACCCGGGACGCTGCAACGGTCGTAAATATGAATCAGTTGCCAAGTGTCTGAATTTTAATCAGATGACCCTGGGGAGGGAGGCTGCAGTGGCGGTCAAAAGTGTGAAAATCAGTCCTAAGACACTTTGTTCAGTGCCGTTGTAACTTTGAACGGTCACTAAATGAACTGTTGTAAGTCAATGACAAATTTTAAGTAATTGAGAATTTGAAGAGGAACTTCACTGAGAAGTTAATAGCTTACCAAAACTTTTCTGGTGGGATTGGAAGTTCTGTGACTGCATCTCTGCCGCTTTTTTTTTTGGTAAAACTTGATTTCTCTTGTGAGTGTCACTAAAGGGATTGGCAAATGGCATTCTTGCTTTCTAATCAGGTAGTAAATTGCTAAAGGAGCTAAAAAAGTTGGTAATAAAACCCCAAATGCCACTGTTGCAATCATCTTTTTGAGACAAAGGATTTCATGGTGAAGATAAAGAAGTAAAAGAGATTGTGCTGGTTCTACTAGTAAGGATTGCTAGGAACTCCCTGGTTGAGACTTGGTCTGGGGACCTTCCATGGTGCTATTTTGCTGTCTAGAACAGGGTTTTGTAACCCAAATCCTTTATGATCAAAATGATTAGTTGATATTATTTAAAAGGGGATGCGAAGACCTCCCTGCTTTAGAGCCAGCTCCTGTAAAACATGGGTGGGGGTTGTTCTAGTTCATTTCTGCAGGACTAATAGATGTTGTGGGAAAACCCAATGAAAAAGACAAGAGACAGCAACACAAAGCAATACTTCTTACTTTAAGATTCAGAGGTTTATTTCAGCAATAATTTGGAACACATACATAAATATTACTTACGTTAAAAGCCCATTGCAATGCGGTCCAATGACATAGCAGTTCCAATAAGGACAGCTTGTAGGCTGGTGGCAAATCAATCAGGTCCAGTCTCAACCTTTTATGCCCTTTCTTATCCTAAGACCGTAGTAGACAGATGGTCAGCAACCTTTGCACTTTCTGCTGACTTTCTGCTGACCATAACTTTCCTCATACCCACATACATCTGAACTTGCACCCCTCAACTACTTTCAGTTCCCCATTTCTCACAGTTCCAGTCCTTATGTTCTAAATATATTTGAAACAAGCAAGCTTAGCAAAATCATATTAAGTAAAGTACAGTTGCAGTTTAGATTACAAATAGTTCTTTCGGATTGTAAAACTGAGCACAGCACAAACTTTGGTTCAATACTTTCCCATGAGGCCTGATTTAGTTCACCTGGGCCTAAATCTTGCATAGAAAAACAATAGTCAATATTTTTGTTTTCCACAGAGAGAACCTGCCACTGGCTCAGAGTCGCTCCCAGCAGGAACAATGTCCTGTTCCCAAGCCCTCTGTGCCTCTTTCTTTCCAGAATGAAAATAAAATAGAGTCTCAATCCAGAACAAACTCTAATTTCCAGCAGTTAAAAACAGTGATACAGATAGTCCTCAACCCAGGACTGGGCAGTTAGCGATTATTCAAAGTTACGATGGATTTCTCCAAGCCTGCTTCCAAACCAGATTTGAACTTCCAATGGGTGGACCCCCCCCTGCAGTCAGGTGATTGCATTTTGGACTCTTGGCAAGTGGCCCGTATTTATGCCCATTTGCAGTGTCTCGCAATCTGTGACTTTTTTTTGCAGAAAAACACCTCTTGTGGACAATGTATCCACTTAATGACAGCTGCAAAAATGTCTTAAACTGAAGGCGATCACATGGTGACCTGCTTAATGACTGGCATGACCTATGACTGTAATTCTGGGCTCTATGATGGTCATAAGTCCAGGACTCCTGTAGTCCCATTTAAACACCCAGGGGGAGAGCCTTCTCTGTGGCAGCTCCTGCCCTCTGGAATGACCTACCCCCCGACCTACGTACAACTGCGGACCTGCGCCTTTTTCGCCGAGCCCTGAAGGCCCATCTATTCTGTGCGGCCGGCCTGGCGTAGTTTGATTATGTTTTAGTGGGGGTTTTGTATGGGGTACTTTTAGAGCAGGCCTGTTATTTAATTTGATTTTAGAACAGAAACTTGTGTATATTTATCGTGGTTTTTATTATCGCCTGTTCACCGCCCTGAGTCCCGTAAGGGAGATAGGGCGGTATAGAAATTCAATAAATAATAATAATAATAATAAAAATTGTCTACTACTACACTCAAGGGTGAGTTAACGATCATGAGATGTCTCTTCACAAATTTAATCAAAACTGTGCAGACTGACTTCAAAAGCTGAAAATAAATGTGTTTTCAATCGACATGCCCAAAACATTGTATGATCCAAATCTGCAATACAGAAATGGAGTTTGAAATTAAGTAGAAGACGGTAACAAGGATTGCTTTAAAGAAGGAATAAAGCAGGAAGTTCATAATCCATCCGAATTTTCTTTTGAAAATCCAAATCAAGCAATTTGATGAAGATCTCTAGACCCTGTTTGTCTTCTTGCTACTCAAGGAAACAGTCACGCATAACATTCTTCCATCTGTGATTGGTGATAAAAGAGCCATTGTAGTTCTAACGTATATAAAAAAAAGAGCACGGTTAATGTTACATTTGTTTATCAGTCAGTAAAATTTGCATCATGCATTTATCCAGCAAAGGGTGAAATGTCAGGAGTATTTTCCTTGTAAAGCAGGCTAGAAGTGAGCAAGTCCAGCCAACAGTTATAACTTCTCTTAATGCTAGAGAAATAGTTAAAAGAAATAGTTTATATGCAGCTTTCATTGATATAAAAGCCACACTTCTTTTGTTCCCCCATTTGTTCCCCTTAACAGACTTAAACAGTAGCAAACAAAAAATGTTTTGTCAGTAGCAAACAAAAGCTTTAAAAGCCCAGACATTGAATCTGCGCAGATTTTGGGTTGTACATTTATTCTCTCAGAGCTAACGTTTCTACTTTGGTGGATTTTTATAGATTGGCTTTAATAAAATAAGTATGTTTTCTTGCTTTCTACTGATTTAAAACTCCCTTGTAAAGACCAAATATGCTAAGATATTATCCATCCATCTGTGTCTCCCCCAAGTGGCGGTGGTGGTCGCGATGGTCTCAACATCTTTTTTACAACATAGTGACCAAAACTGGATGCAGTATTCCAAGTGTGGCCTTACCAAGGCCTTGTAAAGTGGTATTAACACTTCACATGATCTTAATTCTGTCCCTCTGTTAATGCAGCCCAGCACTGTGTTGGCCTTTTTGGCAGCTGCAGCACACGGCTGGCTCCTATTTAAGTGATTGTCCACTAGGACTCCGAGGTCCCTCTCACAGTTACTACTATTGAGTAGCGGGTAGTCCAGAAACTCTTTCAATAGGCTGATTTGCCCGCCCTAACACAACAGGCTCTGCGGCAGTGCTAGAATTACTGCCTCTCAACAAGCAAAGCCGCCTCTAGAAGCTTTTTTTGCTCAGCAGGAGTACCTTTTCTATTTTCATGCTGTAGATCAGGGCTCTCTAAACTTGGCTGGGTGGCTGAAGAATTCTGGGAGATGAAGTCCACAAGTCTTAAAAGTTGCCAACTTTGGAAACTCCTGTTCTGGATCAATGTGGCTGGGGAATTCTGGGAGTCGGAAGCCCATGCATTTTAAAGTCGCCAAGATTGAGAAGGTCTTTTGTATACATTCTAGGGAGCTTAACTTCTTGTTCAGTGTCAATATTGCTCATCTTCTAATCATGATTCCTGCACCTTTTAATGAACAAAAGAAATTTAGTTTTGGCTTAATTCCTTTCTAGGTTTTTGTTGCTGTCCAGGCAAAACGTTCGTAACAATCTTATGGTGGGCTAGTATCTTTTCTAGCCTTGAATGGGAGACTTGTCTCCCGTGAACTCAACGCTGGCCTTGGCCCCAGGTCCACTTCTCCACAGCATGGCCAACAGCTCCTTCTTTCTTTCTTGCAGTTCATCTTGAAGCATGACAAGTACCGGCATCTGCGTGAGGTGGAGCGTTTCCCCAACAGCTTCAACCCCCACCTGCCAGAGACCCAGGCCCTCCTGAAGGCTCTGCTCACCCAGGTCCTCAGCAAGCACCCCCACTCCAGTTGGGTACACATCGGGGCCGATGAGGTACGTAGAGGGAGGAGAGGGTCTGCTGTACGGGTGGGAAAAGTACCTCTTTCTTTGGACACGGTGTTGGTCTAATTTGGCAGAGAGAGCAGTTTACCATTGGTTTGAGTTAGCTGCTAAAAGAATGACCCTGCAGGGATGAAAGCTGGATCCCATTTAAAGGTAATTCCCCAAGCCCAGCATTCTCTGTGTTAACCTCATGCCTCAAGGTCGCATTGCCAAAATTTGATGGCCAAAAGAGCCATTTTCTGTGGCGGGCTTAAGGTAGGTCCAGGAAATGTCTGTGGAGGCACAGTGTATCTATTTTTAGTTTGATTTTGCCCCCCCCTCCTGCCCATCCCCTCGGATTCTTCATCCCAGCCTGCCTGGGGCCACAGTTGTGCCTGGGATCCTCAAGTAGGTTGAAAGCAGCCAAACCTTTCAGGACACCTCAAGGGCAGCAAGACATGTCCTCGTCCTCACTGTGATAGCTTTTGGGAGATTGGACAACCGTTTGTCTGAAATGGTATAGGGTTTCCTGCCTAAGCAGGGGGTTGGACTAGAAGACCTCCAGGGTCCCTTTTCCACTTCTGTTATTCTGTCCTGCTATTCCCAGCTGTTTTCCCAGTTCAGGATCCTGAGAAGTAACTCGCTTATCTGTCTCACCCACTAAATGGCAGATTTTCTGTCTCTCCCTTTCAGGAGATGTTTTTCTCCAGCAGCCCTTTGGGGAATTAAGCAAGTAGCAAAGCAGCACCTAACATTTTCCACACTTCTGTGTCACAAACGGGCAGGATTTCTTTGGCCTTCTGACCGACCTTCCCTTTGCGCACCCATAAGAGAGGCGAGATCTGCTTTTGTCCTTGCAGAAGGAGATCATTCAGAAATGGACCCTGGGAGGTTATCCTCACATTTCACAGGGGAACAAGAAGGAGGAAATTGCATGCAGGTAGTCCTCAACTTTGGACCACGATGGAGCCCAAATTTATGTTGCTAAGGGAGACAGTTGTTAAGTGAACTTTGCCCCATTTTACGACTTTTCTTGCCACAGTTGTTAAGTGAATCGCTGCAGTTGATAAGTTAGTAACCTGGTGGTTAAGTGAATCTGGCTTCCCCATTGATTACGCTTGTCAGAAGGTCGCAAAACAGGATCACGTGAGTCCGGGTGCTGCAACTGTCATGCCAGTTGCCAAGCGTCTTGAGTTTTGATCCCGTGACCATGGGGGGATACTGCAAAGGTCGTAAATGTGAGAAACGGTCGTAAGTCACTTTTTTCAATGCCCTTGTAACTTTGAACAGTCACTAAATAAACTGTTGTAAGTTGAGGACTACCTGTATTTCTAAAAAAAGTTTCTTTTAAAAGGCTGATTCCTTCATTATTTTATTTTATTTTATTTTTGCAGCTTTAGCAATTTCAAGAACATTTGGGAACAAAGCCATGCTTATTTATCAGCCTGCTATTAATAGCATTGACTGAGTTTAGTACAGAAAACTGTTAGAAAAGTCTTCCAAGTTACACTTGGACCTGCCTGTTACCAAAATTAGCCTCTTCAATGTGTTAAAAACAGCAGTTGGGTATATCTGTGCTTCTGAGTTTCCAAGTTAATGATTCACCCAGGCATTAACAGGCATTTATTCAGTGACTTGTTTAATGTTTCTGAAGAGGGAACTGAAGCAGGATGAGGCTTGGGTAGCCATGGGTGGGGTGGGGGTCTTCAAAGAAGATCTCAGGCTCGTAGATGATAGCACGAAGCGAGAATACACTCTGTGCAGTCACTGAGAAAAGAGTGGGGAGATGTCCACCCCAGAATCAGCAGGAGAAGACATGTCCTTTGCTAACCTAAAAGCCTGGCTGTGCAAGGAGGACTTTTGAGGGACTCTTCCACTTCGGAGTGGAGTCATTCCGCCTCTTGGTAGCCCAAGCTGGAGGGAGCATTTAACAGAATAACAGAGTTGGAAGGGACCTTGGAGGTCTTAATAATAATAATAATAATAATAATAATAATAATAATAATAATAATAGTAGTAGTAGTAGTAGTAGTAGTAGTAGTAGTAGTAGTAGTAGTAGTAGTAAAGTAAAGTTGGAAGGGACCTTGGAGGTCATCTAGTCCAACCCCCTGCTCAGGCAGGAAACCCTATACCATTTCAGACAAATGGCCGTCCAGTCTCTTCTTAAAAACTTCCAGTGTTGGAGCATTCACCACTTCTGGAGGCAGGTTGTTCCACTGGTTAATTGTTCTAACTGTCAGGAAGTTTCTCCTTAGTTCTAGGTTGCTTCTCTCCTTGATTAGTTTCCATCCATCGCTTCTTGTCCTGCCTTCAGGCGCTTTGGAAAATAGCTTGACTCCCTCTTCTTTGTGGCAGCCCCTGAGATATTGGAACGCTGCTATCATGTCCCCCCTCGTCCTTCTCTTCATTAAGCTAGACATACCCAATTCCAGCAGCCATTCCTTATATGCTTTGGCCTCCAGTCCCCTGATCATCTTTGTTGCTCTTCTCTGTACTCTTTCTAGAGTCTCAACATCTTTTTTACATCATGGTGACCAAAACTGGATGCAGTATTCCAAGTGTGGCCTTACCAAGGCATTGTAAAGTGGTATTAATACTTCACGTGATCTTCATTCTATCCCTCTGTTAATGCAGCCTAGCACTGTGTTGGCCTTTTTGGCAGCTGCAGCACACGGCTGGCTCATATTTATGTGATTGTCCACTAGGACTCCGAGCTCCCTCTCACAGTTACTACTATTGAGCAAGGTCTTCTAGTCCAACCCCCTGCAAAAGCAGGAGCCCCTCTACCATGCCAGACAAGTGACTGTCCAATCTCTTCTTGAAAGCCTCCAGTGATGGAGCACCCACCACTTCTGGAGGCAAGCCCTTCCACTGGGTTCTCACTGTTAAGAAATTTCTCCTCAGTTCTAGGTTGCTTCTCTCCTAGATTTGAGAACTTCTGTCTAGAACAGCCCCATCTTTGTCAGGTGCAGGCGGAACCCCTCCGCCTTTCAACCCGCCTCAAAACGAAGGATTAGGATGGTTGCTCCAGCCACGATGAAAGGGCAGAGTCTGCTGGGAAAGGAGCCCCCCCCGCTCCCCGCATTGCTGAGGCACTTCTTTGGCCCTTCAGGTCTTCCACTTAGGCGAAGGGGCGGATTCAAAGAACTGGATGAGCCGCAACGGGGGCGACACGGGCAAGATGTACCTGAACCACATCCGGGAGGTGGTGCACTTTATCGCCAGCCAGCCGTGGGGGCTGCGGGTGCTGCTCTGGGACGACATGCTGCGGAAGGTTGGCATCGCAGCCATCCAAGGTCAGTGCCATCCGCCGGGACCTTCCTGGGCTGTCGCTGGGGTTAGCCTGCCTGATCTTGCAGTGGTTTTCCTTGGAACTGTTCCTGCACACCTGGAGGGTGGTGAGGTCCGTGGCTCTGATTGGTTGAGCTGCCTTTACGTCACGGAGGGAGGCTGGGCAAGCCAAAAAGTTGGGGAGGCTGGGCAGGGCTGGTCATAGAGAAGAGCAGGAGAGACTGGCCAACACGTGCACCAAGCAGCTCAGGAGAAGCAGGGAGGGCTCAGGAGGTGGGGTGGGCAAGAAGAGAGACCCCCACTGCCGAGAGAAGCTGCAAAAGAAGGCCCAGAGAAGTTGACCCCTTGATGTGGAACGCCCGCCCGCTCCTCGGCTGCAGGGCCTTCCTTCTTCATTCAGGGTTGTGGACTGGCAGGAGCCGCCTGTGCCTCTCACCCCAGAACTGATGTCTTTCAGATTCCGGCATTGCCAAACACGCGTCTCCCGTGCTGTGGTTTTACGCGCCAGACTTTGATACGCAGCAAATAGGTTGGCTTCCCATCTTTTCTTTTCACNTGGCTGGGGAATTCTGGGAGTCGGAAGCCCATGCATTTTAAAGTCGCCAAGATTGAGAAGGTCTTTTGTATACATTCTAGGGAGCTTAACTTCTTGTTCAGTGTCAATATTGCTCATCTTCTAATCATGATTCCTGCACCTTTTAATGAACAAAAGAAATTTAGTTTTGGCTTAATTCCTTTCTAGGTTTTTGTTGCTGCAGTGACCTGTCCAGGCAAAAAGTTCGTAACAATCTTATGGTGGGCTAGTATCTTTTCTAGCCTTGAATGGGAGACTTGTCTCCCGTGAACTCAACGCTGGCCTTGGCCCCAGGTCCACTTCTCCACAGCATGGCCAACAGCTCCTTCTTTCTTTCTTGCAGTTCATCTTGAAGCATGACAAGTACCGGCATCTGCGTGAGGTGGAGCGTTTCCCCAACAGCTTCAACCCCCACCTGCCAGAGACCCAGGCCCTCCTGAAGGCTCTGCTCACCCAGGTCCTCAGCAAGCACCCCCACTCCAGTTGGGTACACATTGGGGCCGATGAGGTACGTAGAGGGAGGGGAGGGTCTGCTATATGGGTGGGAATACCTCTTTCTTTGGACACGGTGTTGGTCTAATTTGGCAGAGAGAGCAGTTTACCATTGGTTTGAGTTAGCTGCTAAAAGAATGACCCTGCAGGCATGAAAGCTGGATCCCATTTAAAGGTAATTCCCCAAGCCCAGCATTCTCTGTGTTAACCTCATGCCTCAAGGTCGCATTGCCAAGATTTGATGGCCAAAAGAGCCATTTTCTGTGACGGGCTTAAGGTAGGCCCAGGAAATGTCTGTGGAGCACAGTGTATCTATTTTTAGTTTGATTTTGCCCCCCCCCTCCTGCCCATCCCCTCGGATCCTTCATCCCAGCCTGCCTGGGGCCACAGTTGTGCCTGGGATCCTCAAGTAGGTTGAAAGCATCCAAACCTTTCAGGACACCTCAAGGGCAGCAAGACATGTCCTCGTCCTCACTGTGATAGCTTTTGGGAGATTGGACAACCGTTTGTCTGAAATGGTATAGGGTTTCCTGCCTAAGCAGGGGGTTGGACTAGATGACCTCCAAGGTTCCTTCCAACTTTATTATTATTATTATTATGGATCATCGCACAGTCAGCCAGATGTTCAGACTGGATTTGACATTTTGTCTACCTATCGAGTCCTTACCCAGGACCTGGGATAGGCAGATGTGGATGTTTGATGGTATTACAGATACCGTCGCAGGATGAAAGCAGTTCCTAGTAAGGCCGCCTTTTGCAATTGACTAATGATGAATTTGTCAATGCCGATGGTGTTCAAGTGGTGCTCCAGTTCTTTTGGGATTGCACCCAAGGCGCCTATTACTATTGGTACTACCCTTGCTTGCTTTTGCCACAGTCTTTCTACTTCTATTTGTAGGTCTTTGTATTTTGTTATCTTCTCCACTTCTTTCTTGTCTATTCTGCTGTCTCCAGGCACTGCCACGTCCACTATCCAGACTTTTTTGTCTTTCTTATCAACGATTGTTAAGTCCGGGGTGTTATGTTGCAGGTGCTTGTCTGTTTGAATTCTGAAGTCCCAGAGCAGTTTAACTTTATCATTTTCTATGACTTTCTCTATTTTATAGGGTTTTCTGCCTAAGCAGGGGGTTGGACTAGAAGACCTCCAGGGTCCCTTTTCCACTTCTGTTATTCTGTCCTGCTATTCCCAGCTGTTTTCCCAGTTCAGGATCCTGAGAAGTAACTCGCTTATCTGTCTCGCCCACTAAATGGCAGATTTTCTGCCTCAGGAGATGTTTTTCTCCAGCAGCCCTTTGGGGAATTAAGCAAGTAGCAAAGCAGCACCTAACATTTTCCACACTTCTGTGTCACAAACGGGCAGGATTTCTTTGGCCTTCTGACCGACCTTCCCTTTGCGCACACATAAGAGAGGCGAGATCTGCTTTTGTCCTTGCAGAAGGAGATCATTCAGAAATGGACTCTGGGAGGTTATCCTCACATTTCACAGGGGAACAAGAAGGAGGAAATTGCATGCAGGTAGTCCTCAACTTTGGACCACGATGGAGCCCAAATTTATGTTGCTAAGCGAGACAGTTGTTAAGTGAACTTTGCCCCGTTTTACGACTTTTCTTGCCACAGTTGTTAAGTGAATCGCTGCAGTTGATAAGTTAGTAACCTGGTGGTTAAGTGAATCTGGCTTCCCCATTGATTACGCTTGTCAGAAGGTCGCAAAACAGGATCACGTGACTCCGGGTGCTGCAACTCATGCCAGTTGCCAAGCGTCTTGAGTTTTGATCCCGTGACCATGGGGGGATACTGCAAAGGTCGTAAATGTGAGAAACAGTCGTAAGTCACTTTTTTCAGTGCCCTTGTAACTTTGAACAGTCACTAAATAAACTGTTGTAAGTTGAGGACTACCTGTATTTCTAAAACAAGTTTCTTTTAAAAGGCTGATTCCTTCATTATTTTATTTTATTTTATTTTTGGAGCTTTAGCAATTTCAAGAACATTTGGGAACAAAGCCATGCTTATTTATCAGCCTGCTATTAATAGCATTGACTGAGTTTAGTACAGAAAACTGTTAGAAAAGTCTTCCAAGTTACACTTGGACCTGCCTGTTACCAAAATTAGCCTCTTCAATGTGTTAAAAACAGCAGTTGGGTATATCTGTGCTTCTGAGTTTCCAAGTTAATGATTCACCCAGGCATTAACAGGCATTTATTCAGTGACTTGTTTAATGTTTCTGAAGAGGGAACTGAAGCAGGATGAGGCTTGGGTAGCCATGGGTGGGGTGGGGTGGGGGTCTTCAAAGAAGAAGATCTCAGGCTCGTAGATGATAGCACGAAGCGAGAATACACTCTGTGCAGTCACTGGGAAAAGAGTGGGGAGCTGTCCACCCCAGAATCAGCAGGAGAAGACATGTCCTTTGCTAACCTAAAAGCCTGGCTGTGCAAGGAGGACTTTTGAGGGACGCTTCCACTTCTGAGTGGAGTCATTCCGCCTCTTGGTAGCCCAAGCTGGAGGGAGCATTTAACAGAATAACAGAGTCGGAAGGGACCTTGGAGGTCTTTAATAATAATAATAATAATAATAATAATAATAATAATAATAATAATAATAATAATAATAATAGTAGTAGTAATAGTAGTAATAGTAGTAGTAGTAGTAGTAGTAGTAGTAGTAGTAGTAGTAGTAGTAGTAGTAGTAGTAAAGTAAAGTTGGAAGGGACCTTGGAGGTCATCTAGTCCAACCCCCTGCTCAGGCAGGAAACACTATACCATTTCGGACAAATGGCTGTCCAGTCTCTTCTTAAAAACTTCCAGTGTTGGAGCATTCACTGCTTCTGGAGGCAGGTTGTTCCACTGGTTAATTGTTCTAACTGTCAGGAAATTTCTCCTTAGTTCTAGGCTGCTTCTCTCCTTGATTAGTTTCCATCCGTTGCTTCTTGTCCTGCCTTCAGGTGCCTTGGAAAATAGCTTGACTCCCTCTTCTTTGGGGCAGCCCCTGAGATATTGGAACGCTGCTATCATGTCCCCCCTCGTCCTTCTCTTCGTTAAACTAGACATCCCCAATTCCAGTAACCGTTCCTTATATGTTTTAGCTTCCAGTCCCCTGATCATCTTTGTTGCTCTTCTCTGTACTCTTTCTAGAGTCTCAACATCTTTTTTACATTGTGGTGACCAAAACTGGATGCAGTATTCCAAGTGTGGCCTTACCAAGGCATTGTAAAGTGGTATTAACACTCCGGGCCACCCCAACGATGCCCTTGACGTGATGACCCGGTGTCTGGAGGCCGTGAGGGTCTGGATGGGGAGGAACAGACTCAGGCTCAACCCGTCCAAGACCGAGTGGCTGTGGTTACCGGCGCCTCGGCATAGTCAGCTGATTCCATCGCTGACTATAGGGGGCGAAACTTTGGCCCCCTCGGAGAGGGTGCGCAACTTGGGTGTCCTCCTGGATTCGCGGCTGACGCTGGAAGAC